GTCAGTATGTCCTTGTTGTGCACTCGACCAACAATGTTCTACAGACATACTTACAAGGGCACATACAACCAAATATAGACGTCATAAGTAGAGAAGGTTTAGACCAGTGGAGTGGTTTATTGTAGTTATTTATATCATTACAAGCAGACACTAAACGGCAACACATCTGAAACTGGGTTATTGCGGGTTTTGCAGCCAATATAAGCCAGGGACTATAAAACCATTAAACTAAAGTGTAGTATAAAGGCATTGCCTGTATAAACTGTGGCTTGATCTTCATTGAGGGTCTTGGAAATTCTTAGACAAAAGGGGGACAATGAAATGTGTCCCTCTAAAAGCAGCGGGCCAACATGATGTATTACATCCCCCAGTAACCTTATATTATTCACCCACATAACCTCCACACCCAATCCAGAAACTTAAATTATCGGTCCCCATGTATTGGTATCCCCACACAGGGATTCGATAGGTTATAGGGCGAATAGAACAACTATTGACCTCAGGGGAAGTTAGGTTAGTGGGCGTTTCAAGGGGTAATAAAACCCAAATTTAGTCCTCAACATTTTAGGGAAGAAATGTAGGTTATAGGGCGTTTCAAGGGGTAATAAAACCCAAATTTAGTCCTCAACATTTTAGGGAAGAAATGTAGGTTATAGGGCGTTTCTAGGGGTAATAAAACCCAAATTTAGTCCTCAACATTTTAGGGAAGAAATGTAGGTTATAGGGCGTTTCAAGGGGTAATAAAACCAATTACAGACATCAACATGTTAGGGAAGGAAAGTGGGTAATACAATCGTGGCCTTACAGAGACTACATTGACAGAAGTGCACTGGCTAGTTTCATCACCATCGGCCCTGTTACAGCCAAGACTCCATCATGGGACGTGTGGGTAAACGGGCGTTAGTAATTCCTCAATAACAATGGATTCAGTTGTAAGTGGGGAATTATATTACGCAGTGATCAAATGTTTGCATTACATCCCAACTGAGGGGAAGTCAGGTTAAGTAGGAAAGCGTGTTGAAGACATCATTATCTGCTGGGGGGATGTCATGTAAACTAGTACTATCCCCTTCACAAACTAATAACTACTAATAATGATAAAGGGGCGGTGAGTGGGGGGAGATGGGGTAGCCTAGTGGTTAAAGCGTTCGCTCGTCACGCCGAAGAATCGGGTTCGATTCCCCACATGGGCACAATGTGTGAAGCCAATTTCTTGTGTGCCCCGCTGTGATATTGCTGGAATATTGCCTAAAATCAGCATAAAACTATACTCACTAAATCACTAATAATTAAAGACTCTCTTGGAACCAGGTAGGTTTGGTGGACAGGCGCGTCGCAAGCCAATTGTTTTCATGCTAGCCTGATTGGTTGCAAAGCTTTATATGTAGATAGTACTGAGGCCTTATTCAACCTTCTAAGCAACAATCATACACTAAACGCCAAAAGAAACGTTACCCTCCTTCCTTAATGACGGAGGTACCTATCTTCAGCTGGCGTGATGCGTGGACGTCCACTTCTTGGTCTGTCTACGGTTATCCCAGTCTGTCTGAAGCCCTGAATAAATCTTATAACCGTGATACGGTGGCATCCGTGGGCGTTGGCAACAGCATTGTATGTCGACCCCATCTGCACCATCCCAATGGCTCTTTCTCTCCCTTCAGCTGTTAATCGTGCCATATTTCTCGTCTCGTCTTCTAGGTTCTCTTTACACCCTATAGAATCATTCTGCATGTGAAATGGATGCAAATACTGTTTGAATATTGCTGCGTTTTGGCGATTGATATTTGCTATGTGTAAAGTGGAAATGGAAAAAACTAAAACCTTCTAAAAATATCTTTGTTACTTTGCAAAGCAAAAATGTTAACAAAGATTGTAGATGTTCCTAAACATTTTTTGCTCACAATATCAAAGACACGTTTTACTTGTTTTTACTAATGCAAATTTTCATTCGACTACACTACGTTCCTTGTTCCTGTACATGCCTACGTAGATTACCTCCGCGCTTGTCGTCAATTATTGCTCGGATGGTCAGTGAGTGACAATTCACAACTCGCGCTCGTCTCTAATTTGTCAGTGAAGTGGAGAGTTTGACAATGGTTGATCACTCTCCTGTATTTGAGGCAGGATTATACAACACACAAATGTAGAATTGTGGTAAGTGAAATATTGGAAATTACTCGTGATCTGAGGTGAGGTGAAATTGGATTTAACGTCGTGCTTGCGAGAATATTTCAGCTCATATGACGACGTGCATGCGTGTGTGTGTGTAGTATGTGCGGCTGCTTGTACCAGCAGACTTAAGCTGGTTTTATAGTTGCAAGCCCACTGAGATACCATGCCGCAGGAAGCATTACACTCAGATGACTCCGAGCCGACCAGTCCCCTTGAGCACGCCAGGCAGGACCAACAAGTACATATTTTAACGTCTTTGGTATGACGCGTTCGGGGATGCGACCTTCACGTCCTAATCACTACACCACGGAGGCGGTCACCGGAAGTAGAATTTTGTTGTTAGGAGCCAGCGATCATACTGTTCTGCTTGTTGCCGGTGTTGTTGACATATATTGCGCCACATTAGCGACCTATGAAGTCACAAGTAAAATTTGAACTATTTGGTGAAATATGATTTTACGGGCGGTCCACTTAGGGTTGGTCCAAGAGTGAGCCCCTCTATATGTCTAATGATACTTCAGGTGCATTTGACTGAGTTACATTGAATTTAGCTCACTGAGATTATAATGATACTTGATTAATGTGTTCACTCAATCAGTACCATACAGTACACTTACATGTGTTACCTATTGCATAAATACCATCAAGTTACAAGACGTAGTATCATTTTCACAATGGCTCAAGCACAGTTACGAGCCTGGATTGTGTCAATGCTGGCGTTTATGCGCCCCTCTCAATACACATATGTACAGCCACTGTTGCTTTGTATAAGTCCAGGAGTAAGACTGTGCATTCTCAATACTGTTTTCATGGTAGCCTCGTGGTTACAGTGTTCGCTAGTCAGGCCGAAGACCCGGGTTCAATTTTCCACAGAGGTACAGTGTCTGAAGTCCATTGCCTGTTGCTGAGATAGTGCTCGCTCCCTCTCTCACTAACTCACTCACTCTATCATGCACTCGCACGCCCGCTCACTCACTCACTCACTCACATACTCATTCACTCACTCGCACACCCGCTCACCCGCTCACTCACTCACTCACACACACACTCACTCACTGTTCTCAGGAAGGTTATATATACCGCCAGACGTATCCCAGCCCTCGGTATCTGTTTATCCCGCCAGGAGATAGAGCGTTAATCCCCCACACCCGGTGTGTAATCCGCACATCTCAGCCACTAAAGCCGTCTCGTGGTTCTGGTCATGAAACTCACATTGCCCCTTCAAGCTGTGAGAATGCATTAAGTATCCCCATGACTATCAGAGCCGGTATTAATTGGATTTTGTTAGGGAAACCTTTTTGTCATGACAATCGGAGTCGGCAAAACAGCCAGTAATACAGACGTACGTTCACACAGATATACATTGACTGTGAGGGTAGCACCTGCGTCTGTAGAATCTGAGAAGCAGCAATGGCACAATCAGCGAAATGGCCAACCATGAATTATTGTTGTTAATTACCAAGGAAGGAATGCTTGGGCGATAGATGGCCCATCTTGCCAGGTGCTGACCACGAATGTCCAGTTATAAAATACCGACTGTACACTTACAGCTTACAAACCCTGGTGTACCCAATTTTACTCACCTAAGTATATGTCATTGAGTAAGTTTACTAAGCAGGTATGTTCTACCTTATGTCATACCTAATCAAAACCAACTTTAATATAATGGAAATGATTTCATAAAAAATCACTCATCCTATACTGACAGTACAACACTTGTCCCTATACTAACAGCAACTTGATAGCAATCGATGTCTTTTTCATTACGCAAGCGATTTTATAAATATATTCCGTAATGCATTTGTTTTAAACTTTTGCGTATCTAACATTTTAAATGCGTACCTATGCGTATTATACCCGGATACGCAGCTTATCTGGGCCTCTGGGTGGGTGGTGTTCTGGAGGGTCCGTAAACAACTGATGTTTAGTTTAGTGTAATTTCCACTGCGTACCAGGTGGAAACGAGAGGTCGGTCACTGGTACATATGCGTCTCTTAAAGACACTACTTCAATCTAATAAACATATTTGCAGTACAGGGTAGACGGTAATAATCTGCCACGACATGATCTGACCTATATCGGTCCAAGTCGTTCCGATGCCTCTCACGACCTCCAGAATCTGGTTTAATTAAATCCCTTGAACTAGTTAACACCGTGGTCGCGGTAGGCGTGCTCTGTCGCCGATATTCCGGCTATTTGTGGCCATTGTGGCAGTATTGGTCACTTCCGATGTCCAACAGTTGTCCGAATGGGCTGCCCACTAACAAGAACAGAAGAGGCAATGTCGACGTCGCCATTAAAGCCCTCATACATTCACCCGTGTTCTGTTGAATGAATGATGTAGTCAGACACGTTCCCCACGTCCTCGAAACAGTGCTGTGTGAAACAATATTCAGTTTCCTATTGGTCTGTCATACAGACCCTGAAACAAACCCTGAATGCAAGTCACAATATGTCCAGTCTAGATTTCATCTGGAAGTGAAGTATCTGGGTTCCATTTCATTATATTTTCTGATTCTAATTTAGGAACTGTTTTTTTCTGTAAAATATGTTCATTTCAGAGACAATATGGGAGTCTAAGTTTCCCATGTACATCAAGATGAACAAAACGTCGATATAAATAAATTCAAATCAAATGGTACGGTTTCTTTCGGGAACCTTTCTAGAACTTTGATTGCCCTGTTTAAATGAAGAATACATGTGTCCTTGTCATTCAACATTCTGCTCTCCATAGACCACGCCGACCAGGCTACCATGCCTCCACAGACCTCGCATGTCTGCATTAAGCTGACCCCTCAGAGTACAACAATAGTTGTGTTTTGTTTCAGGATCTATAGCCAACATTGGTGGGTCCTCCTACAAGTGTAAAGATGGCTCCAATCCGGAAAACGACGTAAGGATTATTTCTGGTGTGATAGCAGCGCCCTCTAGCGTGACATCTATCCAAGTGGCCAACCTACTGAAGCTCTTCCGTATTCCACAAGTAAGATACACTTTACTCTTCACTGTTGTGCTTCAATGGACACCGAACCTCAGTGTGTCTGCATGTACTGGGCGTGATGTCCTTCATTTGTTCAGTACTAACCCAGTCAGATACTGTGAATAACGCAGGCGTACATGCAAACCACCCTCACATATATAGTATGCTCACTCTGTCCGGTACCCTAATTCCGACCAATAGGCGGGGTAACAACACGCACGCACGCACGCACGCACTCACTCACACAGCGACAGACAGACAGACACAAAAACACGCATAAATATACACGCACGAACGCACACACGTACGCCCCCACTTGACCAGCCACGTCAGTGACTTGAAGAGTCCGTGCTGGCCTACAAGCTGTGCCACAAGCCAAGTCATACTGTCCCCCACATCAAGTTTAAATCAAAGGCCGTGTTTACAATCATAGTAAAACTGCTGTTATTGAACAAACAGCAGCGATGTTGGAAATTGTGATAAAACAACAGCTTGACAGCCCCTTGACACACCTGCCTTTGATCTGGTCGTGGCTGTGTGTTGCTCTTCACCACTGTCGGTTGTGAAAACAGCTTGAAGCCCGGAGTCGGACAGGACTGGACGTAAGTTGACCAGGCATTTACCTGACGTTGTAATTATTGTCGGAAACATGGCCACGGAGATGGAAGGAAACAACTGAACAGCCGGGCTCCACACATGGCTGAAGATTCACACTGGTCGAGCTCTATGTGGTGGACGAGAGAGAGGTGATCCCGTGGCCGCTCAATCAAAGGTGTATCGCAATATCACCTGAGCACTGATGGACAGAATGATGGAATGTTTCATCGACGTTCCTTTCATATCACAGCGGCACTTTAGAGATCAAATCGTTTGCAAGTAGACAGTTTGTACAGGTCAAATACGATAAGGTACTATGTGATTTGCGAACAGTTACAGAGAACAAATATACAAGCGACTTATTGCAGTATAGCAGTACTCCGTCGTGTAGTCAAACCAGAAAATCCAGTGATGGGGCAGAACCTTGGTGTCGTGATAGTGTATCTATTGATATTTTTAAAAATCTGGAAACGATCTGTGATTTTTGTATTACGTCTGCTGTGTACAAGTGCAAGAACAATGTTCTGTTTGAATACTCTTCAGACACGCCCAATCATCTGGCTGGGGCAGTAGACTGGCTTAACTGATCAACGGTTTCTAATCTTATGATGAAATTATGCGACTTCAGTCCTCCAACAGAAAATTCGGATTCGTTCATGGAATTTGTAAACCGTTTACATCAGAGAAAATCAGTTCGGGTTATCCACCGAAAAAATCCAAGACCACTGCATGTATATCATGACTTGGGACATAAAAGCTGTGTAGTTGTAGTGCACTCGGTCGATCTTCAATCAATGTCCACCAACAGATGGTTGCAGAGCTCTGTGTTGCATGAACTGTGCTGTCAATGTGGGACATCAGTCCATGTAACAGTGATACCCTACAGCTACAACAGTCAGTGTGGACTAATCAACAGTGTGTACAGGTCTGTATTACATGGAGTGGAATACATGTGACTGATCCTGTCATAGCTTCCTGAACACTAGTCGGCTTCACGGGACACGCTTCAAGTCCCAGGATGAAAACTGTAATATCCCGAGGTCCACTTTTCGGGTGTTTGTACTGTTGGTGTGTCTCGGGTGTATACACGTCGTCTATTTTATCCTGAACATGCCATATAAGGAACTACTCCACAGGAACCTCCACCACGTTACATACAGAAGGCAATATAACAGGTCCGTGTATCCGTCACTTGGACACATGAAGTACATCCTGCATAACCCGGATGTGTGTAGTCCCAACAAGGAGGTGACGTTGTTGTTTGTGGTACATTCAGCATGGCATAATATACAACAGAGACAGGTAATGCGGAAAACCTTCTTAAACCAGACGTATTTTCAACAACACACCATTAAGGCTGTTTTTCTGTTGGGGTTAAACGTTTATAACCTGTCCAATGAAAGAGTTGAGAAGGAAAACTCAGTATATAAAGATATAGTTCAGGGAGATTTTATGGATACCTATCGAAACCTGACCTACAAGTTCTCACTGGGCTTGCAGTGGATCGTCAGTTTCTGTCCGGCTGCTAGATTTGTTATCAAGATTGACGACGATACAGTAATTGACACGTATAGGTTCCTGGAAAGATTTGTTCCAAAATACCAGAACAAACGACGTCACATTATATGCAATGTATGGCGTGAGAATTACATGGGGATAAGAAGAAAAAGAAGGGATGCAGTAAGTTGGGACATATTGAAGGGACATAAGGCGTATCCCTGGAGGTACTGCAGTGGCTTTGTGGTTGCCATGACAGGAGATCTGATCCCTCTTCTCTACAAGTCCCTCTTCATCTCCCCCATGTTGTGGGTGGATGATGTCTACCTGTCGGGAGAGCTCCCTTCACGACTGAACAACGTCACCTACATCGGCCTTCGACCAGAGGAGACGTATTACAGTTATGATAAGAACTTCCCTGCTAGGGTGAAATGTTTTGGACGTCCGAGCTGTGAACTGTTTGTATTTGAAGATAGAAATAGGTACAGGGACTATTACTGGAAAATAGTATTGCGTAACCGAGGACTTTTGTCATGACTTTACACCTATGCTAAAATCAATCAATTGCACAATTTCGATGATTTTATGAGTAAGTGTTGTTGTTCGTTCGTTCGTTCGTTCGTTCGTTCGTTCGTTCGTTCGTTCGTTCGTTCGTTCGTTCGTTCGTTCGTTTGTTTGTTTGTTTAACCGCGTATTCAGCAACATTACAGCTGCATGATGGCTGTCTGTGAACAATGGAATCTGGACCAGACAATCCAGTGGTTGATGTCATGAGATACAGTGACAGACAGAGATACATGAATCACTATGAAATAGTGATGATACAAGGTGTTCGTGTCATGAACTCATCAAAACACTAGTTCATAGCTCACCTGAAATTTTGTATAGAACGTATGGTAAGTCAAAAGAGGAATTGCATCGGACATCAGTTTTGTCACTGATGTATTAAAGTGTGTAATCTCTTGAACACGTCTACCATAAAACTTTTGAAAGCATTACTGAAGCCTTGCTATGTTGTAACCTTGATCGAACAACTTCTGAGCATTCTTTCAAATCTTGGCCTTAAGATCATGCTCGACTGTACCTCAAAAGTTTTGAAATGTAAGCACCACGGGCGGGAGCTGTTGGAATAATTGCTCGACATGAAGGGAAAGTTGAAATCATACCTTTTGTCACATAGTCTTTTGTAGAGAGGTTTTGTCTCTCTGAATCTTTATGCATAGGTCAAAATATGAAACAGTTGAGGCGGTCTCACTTGTCTCCTTAATTTCAAGTCAAGGTGGGTAAATCAGTGGAAGGCAACTGGCTATTTGGTGGTTATTGAACGATATTAGATCATCTGTATACCTGAAGCTTAGGCTAAACTTGGCCAAACAACCCCAACAGATATTCTGATTCATGTGCATAAATTGCTTCTGTTCACCCAGCAGACAAATGGGTACCCGGTGGGATAGGTCATGCGACTATTAACCTTCTAGCGCCTCACAGGCAGCTTGGGTTATCCGGGGTAATCATAATAAGATTGTTTGGGCGCGTCGAGCATGCATTCTGCGTGGAGAGATGCGCATGATATTATTATTATCTGTTGTTATTATCATCTGCACGGAAGACGACACAGATGGTCTCCAGGGGAATGCCTACTTCTTGTCCAAATGTTTTACACCTCAACATTACATGTATGATATCAATGAGGAAGTCCAGCATTTCACATATTGCTTTCTCATTAAACTTAAAACGTCATTTGCTTTCATTTTTGACAAATTGTCCTGAACCTCTGCAGATAGATGTGTTAGTATATCCTTGTTCACCATGTTTCTTTACAAAGGCACTTGGATCAAGGAATGAAGTTTCCCTTTAGTTTGTCGTGTGGGATAGTGGTGTAAAACGTTGAAAAATCAGATGTTTTGACAGAACGGAACTCTGAGATTGTAAAGCAAAGTGTTTGAGAATCCAAATGGAAGTAATTCCGCTTGTCTCAGCTCAATTTATTCTGTGAATATAGTGCAAGTGATACTTTTAGTATGAAGGAATCTGGTTAATCTTTGAGACAGGAATTTGTTGGTACATTTGCTGGACCCAGTATCTCTGTTTAAGAATGTTTATGTAGCCTTGGAGTCCAGTACAAAACAGGAATGGACATGTCACGTTGGCCTTGTATTCCCTTGTGTACTGACGGCGGAGTCAGTGCACAGTTCACCTTCCATATGCGCAGGTTCGATGGGGCAGTCTCATGATTAACACATTCGTCACGTCGTCACGTCATCACGTCGTCACGCCGTCACGCCGTCACTATATCTGAAGTTCTACATGTGAAGAGCATTTCAGATGTTGGTTGGTTGGATTGTTGCTTAACGCCGCACTCGCCAATATGTCAGCTATATGTCGGCGGGCTGTAAATAATCGAGTCTGGACCAGACAATCCAGTGATTGATCTACGCAATTGGGATACGATGACATGTGTCAACCAAGTCAGCGAGCCTGACCACCCGATCCCGTTAGTCACCTCTTACGACAAGCATGGTTTGCTGAAGATATAATTCTAACCCAGATCTTCACGGATTCATTTCAGATGTGGAAATGTGCAAAACGATTTTCTTTACATCCCGGTACAACAGCTGGTGTACGTCATCTCTGGTTTCAGTGACCCATTCATAGAGCAGTTTGACATGCTGTATATATTAAGCATTGTTGTCACAAATGGGTCAAATTGTGATCACATTCATCTTTTAAGTCTTGATAAAGACCATGTTGTGCTTTACCAATAATCATAAGAAGGGGCAAAAATAGTACATAAGCTACTTATATAAAGGGAATGGTGGGGTTGACATGTTCTGTATGTTCTACGGTAAGACGACCGTATGCACTACTTCAGACATGTCAAACATCTCTTCACGATCGGTATTAATTAGTATTGCAATAAATAGCATGTATATATCCGCTCAAACCTGCCCAGTGAGAGGACACGTCGAGACACAACATAACGCCTTCGTTAAATGTTCACTTCTCAGAGATCTTCACAAACAGAACATAAGGAACACAGTTTACTTGAGGTCCAGACTACAAATCTACTATTCAAAAAAAGAAACGCATAACCCAGAAATCTGTTGCGAAAATATAATTCGTCCACAAATAGACTTTAGTACATGAATTTTTACATCAGTTCAAAAGAAAGAAATGTCTATACAACCAAGTGGATAATTTTAGATAACGGAGACACTGAGCGCGGCGGTGGTGATGACGTAGCACGGTCCCGACGTCGGGTATCCTGGCTCTCAGTCCAATCTCTCTCAACCTGTTCCGAACAGTTTGACCGGATACCCTCCGAAGTTCAGGCACCCTGGCTGCTGTGCTCTCACCCGTGGCAGTATGATCGCGCAAATGTAGTATCCGGATGTACCGATCTTGGGCTGCAGTGGTGACTCGAGATCTGCCTGTGCGGGGACGGTCATTTGTTATACTTGTTGTATACGAGCTGCAAGACGCCTGGCAACAGAAGATTGATAATCTCCAGTGTGCATTCTTTCAATGGCGATGTTCCTTGTCGCAGGGTCAAGACGTGGCGTAGTGATTTGACCTTGAAATTCCTTCAAAACGAATGCCGATTTCAGAAAGTAATCTGGATGTTTATAGCCAGACAGTGCATGCTCTTTGATGCACAATTTCAACTGGAAGATGATTCTGTTGCGTTGTGGCGGTGCCTTTTTAATCCTTGTAGTGAGTGAGTTGGGTTTTACGCCGCTTTTAGCAATATTCCAGCAATATCACGGCAGAAATGGGCTTCACACATTGTACCCATGTGGGGAATCGAACCCGGGTCTTCGGCGTGACGCGCGAACGCTTTGACAACTAGGCTACCCCACCGCCCTTTTAATCCTTGTAAGGAATCAATACTGATATTAATGACACCTGTCCATTTGTAGAACACGAGAACGAAATTCACATCTTGTAGTCGTGAAATAGTTGCTCAAGGTTATTTTTACAGCGCATTCCATGTGTGTCAATATTTTGGACCATTAAAAGCTTTTCCAAATTGCCACTGGAGGTGTATTTCTTTTCATTAATCCCTTGAGTGTATCTCAAGGACACATGCAAAGCTGAAATTGGAACATTAAATGTTCTGTTATCGGGCGTCATTGTTTTTTATCCTGAACTGTCCTTGGCCTTCCTACACGATATGGCTGCATGTATCACAACATATTATGACACAGCATTCAACACACCAGATGGTGCCAATGCACAATATGTACTTCTATTGATTTCCTTTTTCTAAATAGTCGCATACATGAAGTCTTTCTTTTCCTAGCTAAAACCATTGGGGCACTGTTCTGTATGTTCAGCTGGTGTTTTACAAGTGTTTCACGTAATGTGCGTCTTGATGTAGTGTTAGGACTGCATGGTTTCCCAGGACAAAAGAAGTATCATTTTACAACATGTCACAGTCGAACACATTATCGGAGTAAAACGTGTGTTTTCTTACACAACTGAAACAAACGGACCCGTAAACATACGGGTTTGAATCGATCTATCATCAGCAGCCTATCTTGTTTGTTTGACTAACGGGATCGCTCATTGGGTTGATGCGTGTCTTCGTATCCCAAAAGACCGCCTCCGTGGTGTAGTGGTTAGAGCGTCCGCCCGGAGAGCGGAAGGTCGCGGGTTCGATCCCCGACCGCGTCATACCAAGAGACGTTAAAATATGGTACTTGTTGGCCCCTGCCTGGCGCTCGGCATTAATGGGTACAGCAAGGACTGGTCGGCTCGGAGTCAGTATAATGTGTCTGAGTGGGGTATTCATGCTTCACTGCGGCATGGTATCTCAGTGGGCTAGCACTATAAAACCAGCTTAAGTCTGGGCTAGTGCAAGCAGCCACACATACACATACACACGCATGCACGTCGTCATATTATTCTCAAGAACGACGTTAAACCCAATTTCACTTCACCTCACCTCGTATCCCAAATGCGTCGATCACTGGATTGTCTGGTCCAGACTCGACTATTTACAGACCGCCATCATATAACTTTCATATTGCTGAGTGCGGTGTAAAACAACAACATGGCTACCAGACGTCTACTGTACCCTGGTTATCTCCGTCCACAAATTATACCAGTTGTTTTGGGTTTTTTTTAAGTCCTTTGGAATATTTGACTAAACCATGGTAGCTGATGCCTGATGGGTATATATTATAATACAATGGAGTTATAATAAACTGGATCATCAAAATGAACTTCCTACTTGTGTTCTTAGTATTGAAGCATTGGGTATCGTCGATACGTCCGTTGTTCTAATGTGAGTATAGTTCTGTACGAGCACAAGACAATAAGTAGTATATCGATTCAAATATTATTATTTTGAATAAAGAAACAGAAATTGGTTATCATGTTATGGACAGTGTTATTATTGTTGTGTAGGACACATACGACACAGACAAGAATATGTAACAGTTTATGATTTCAAAACAGAGAATACAAGAGTGTTTCACAACTGTTCAAGTCTGTATGGGTTTGAAGTAAATAGCCAAAGTCTATCTGAAGAGAGGCGATAGGCATCATTTGTCCGAAAGAGCATTTCCTTGGGACGACGGGTCATGGTGGCAGCTGGGTTCAAGCCCCATATCCATGTTTGTGGAGTATATAAGTGTGCAATACGCCTAGTTACCCGGCTCTATGTTGAGCTGGAAATGACTCGATTGGGTGATACATGACAACAGCAGTGACAGTTATGTGATGGCATCGTTGTCAATGACACAAGTTGTCCTTGAGAGATTTAAGCATGTTCCTGTTCCATCTAATGGTCGACTTGAAAATCCCAAAGACGACAGCCATTCATTGATGTTCTGTTTAGAACGAAAAACGATGTGGAAACTTCAACTGAGGGTTTGTCTCACTGCTGGCATTCCTTTCCCATCCAGCTTACAGCCCTTGATATCACTGGAATGCTTTACAAGCAAACGTCTTAAGCTACACTCACTCACTCACTCATTCACGATCAGTGTGAACTATATAACGGACCAGATTGATCCGTCTATGCGGCTCAGCCTTGTTTGTTAGTGATACCTGATGCAAACTCCAACGAAACTCGATTCTTTCAACCTCGTCCACTGATGCAGCGCCTGCAGCAGATGTTGGAGACAATCATTAAGGGTTGGTTTGTGTGCTTACACTGCTGTGGTCGATCCTCGATCAATGATTCAAGCATACGATAAGGACACATTATATATATTGACGTTTGTGTTTCACCCAGCATTACGGACGTTCATGTTACCAACCCCACAGACACATGTTACCTGCCTACTTAGGACCCTGGACAAAGCGGACATGACGTAGCTGTGAGGCTGAACAACGTCCTTGTCAACAACACCGGAGCTGTGGCGACGTGGTTGTCAATATGTATGTATCCAAAGCATGGTTTGGACTTGGAAGTACTGTGCTCTAAACATGAAGCCCGTGTCACTGATTCCCGCTGAAGGTGTGTTACTTGGGTCTGTGTGTCTCGCATGTGTTCATATCTTCTATTTTATTCTGAAAGTATCAAACATGGACCTTCACACGAGGAGGGTACAGCAATTGAAGGACTATGATTGGCCCATCAACAATTTACGCCGAAGGCACTGTAACAGGTCTGTGTATCCGTCACTTGGACACATGAAGTACATCCTGAATAACCCGGATGTGTGTAGTCCCAACAAGGAGGTGACGTTGTTGTTTGTGGTACATTCTGCATGGCATAATATACAACAGAGACAGGTAATGCGGCAAACCTTCTTAAATCAGACGTATTTTCCACAACACACCATTAAGGCTGTTTTTCTGTTGGGGTTAAATGTTTATAACCTGTCAAATGAAAGAGTTGAGGAGGAAAACTCAGTATATAAAGATATAATTCAGGGAGATTTTATGGATACTTATCGAAACCTGACCTACAAGTTCTCACTGGGTTTACAGTGGATTGTCAGTTTCTGTCCGGCTGCTAGATTTGTTATCAAGATTGACGACGATACAGTAATGGACACGTACAGATTCCTGGAAAGATTTGTTCCAAAATACCAGAACAAACGACGTCACATTATATGCAATGTATGGCCTAAGAATTCTATGGGGATTATAAGGGAGAGAAGATTCGCCGTAAGCTGGGACATATTGAAGGGACACAAGGTGTATCCCTGGAGGTACTGCAGTGGCTTTGTGGTCGCCATGACAGGAGATCTGATCCCTCTTCTCTTCAAGTCCCTCTTCATCTCCCCCATGTTGTGGGTGGATGATGTCTACCTGTCGGGACAGCTCCCTTCACGACTGGACAACGTCACCTACATCGGCCTTCGACCAGAGGAGACGTATTACAGTTATGAACGTCGCTTCCGAAGGAAGACAAGATGTTTAGGACTTCCGGGTTGTGAACTTCTGGTGTTTGAGGACAAGTATGGATACGGAGACTATTTCTGGAGGGTGCTGTTGTATAACCGTGGACTGTCGAAGATCAGAGTATAAACATCCTACAAGTACGTTACTTTCAGTACCCTAAACGAAGATATGAGTAAAGAATCAATTTGTCTACAGAATGATATTTGTTGTTTCATCTTGTTCGTCCTCTTCTTCTTCTTCTCAGTTAGTTACAGTTCAAGTTTAGTTTCTCTGTACTTAACTACTAATTTCACTAAATAACTATTATATACAATATTCGTCATAATAATCATTTATTTTTTTTTAATTTCAAATTAGAAGGAAAATATATAATAAATATTGAAGAATTTATACAGTCCCTTAGTACAATGTAGGACTTATGTTGAATGAGCTGAATGTTTCATTTTGGCCCGTATGTCAGTTATTGGCGACCAACACTGACAAGCAGCAGCTAAGTGGTGAAACTCTCCAGTACGACCGGTTGTCTGTATCCTCTCCCCTGGGTGTGGAGGACAGGGGGATATGGAATGTATGGACGGATGTGCAGTAGTTACTTTCAAATCTGACATTATGGTCAGGTAATAACAGGCCCAGTCATGCAGAATGGCGCCCCCTAGGGTCCGCATTTCACAACCGCGGAACCAGACCTTCCTGATAGTATCACTCTATCACATTCAAATATTATAGCGATGGTGTTTAAATCAATGTGATGATGTCGGAACTCGATGTTCTGTTCTCGATCTGTAGAACCCAAGAATATATTAATAAGAGGTATCAATATACATTTACCAAATTGACCAAAGTGGAAGTTGCAATGGCTGAGTGGGTTAGATGGCTGACTTTGTGTGCTGGCGATTAGGTTCCTGACTCTGAGTGTGTGAGTTCGAATCCCGGAAGGTCTCAACCTAACAATAGTACTAGAATCTGTACTTAACTGAGAAAGTGTTGTCCCAAATATTTTTGACTACTTTCTAAATGGTATTATGTATTCATGACCAAATTCATGTTTAAGACGCGGTAAGTGTATTTCCTTTCACCTTTCGCAGATGCCAACAGCGTTCTGAAGACGGTAATCGTTTTGAACCTATATTTACACATGGATACATATTTCATCTGTCGTAGTGAAATAGGTAGTGTTAAACGTAATATATGCTACTCTTGCTCAAGATCATACATACATGTTTTTCAATAATGTAGGTCAATGGCCCATAATACAAACAAAATACAAATATAAATAATACATACATGCTGAATTTAGGGTGAAAATTGAAATTCAAGATCAGTTATTTTATAATCGAGGGTTTACTTCTTAGTTAATACAGCGGAGAGGAATGTACTTAATGTTTTTATATGATCAATGTTGTTACAGGTGAATAAAGGTTTCAATTGTTGGAGGGTGGGTCGGGTGGTTTGTGAAACACTTCTATCGTATTTCAGAATATTTACCACAGATAAGTAGGACATGGAGCTCGTCTTCAACACAGCTTAGGCCAACAGAGTGGGGCAGTAAAGGCAGAGACGTTGATCATAGGGTATATTTGTGTGTTCAAGATCAATGACATGTGGTAATCTCCTCTTCAAAATAGGGTCGCAAATTAGCTTCTTAGACCTCTTCTTGATTCCTTGCAGATCAACAGGATCATGTCCTTCTCTTCCTACTGTAAGAATGGCAGGTTACTGAAATAATGAGTGAGTGAGTGAGTGAGTATAGTTTTACGCCGCACTCAGCAATATTCCAGCTATATGGCGGCAGTCTGTAAATAATCGAGTTTGGACCAGACAACCCAGTGATCATCAGAATGAGCATCGATCTGCGCCATTGGGAACCGATGACATGTGTCAACCAAGTCAGCGATCCTGAGCACCCGATCCCGTTAGTCGCCTCTTACGACAAGCATGGGTTACTGAAGATTCATTCTAACCCGGACCCGAACATCTAAACGACATATTCCTCAACTTCTAAACATCTATATTTTAGTAATAAAGCATACGAAAGCAGGCTTTTTATGGAAAAACAACGTTTTGTTTATTGCATAGAGCGAGTTTTCGGTACAGATTCTTACACCGATGCCAAGTTTAGAGTGACTACAAATACATGATGAGAAGTTTAAATACATAGTACGTTGTGGCAAATATCAGATTAATTTGATTGACTAACAAAGTGGTGCAAGGCCAGGTGGGAAGTGAGGAGGAGCTTTGAAGCCAATAAGCAGGAGGGATGAAGTGGTGAATCATCGTTCTATGAAATAAACAAGAAGTTGACATCCATAAAGTCCCATCATGTATTATTGACGCACCAACTTCTAGAATGCCGATAAAATCATCTATTTTAATTAGTTAGAAGTTGTAGTGATGTACGGCTGGTTTCAGATAGGTCTCCATCTTACATATTCAGAACTGACCTTCACTCCGCCCTGGATGAGCTCGATTTACTCTACATGGCTGCCTATATTATGTTCTCGGTGGCTATCAACAAACAGCACGAAACCAGAGCACATTTCCAGATCCAGTAGTTTTCAGTGTCATTACACACCCCATCATGTCGTTTGTAGATCGTGTTTTGTAGTATAACAAATGGTATTTTCCATTCGAGGCCCCAAGACCACAACGTGGCAACAATGTTTTGTGCAAATCTGTGATTTAGGGAACGATGGGTAGGAATGTAGTTAAATCGTCCGCTCAATATAACACAGCAGCACAGAACCTCCTCGTGGGTACAATATGTGGAACCATTGCTGGTGTCTCTTGACTTCTTCTCATTGCTGGAATATAACTTACAGCAGCGCAGAACCTGCTGGAATATAACTTAAAGCAGCGCAGAACCTGCTGGAATATAACTTACAGCAGCGCAGAACCTGCTGGAATATAACTTAAAGCAGCGCAGAACCAACAAGCCTGCAGCACAAAGGGGTATTTGTATTGAGGTAGAAATGACACTCAGAAACTATAACAGAGGCCTAACAACAGTGTCACTATAGACTTGTACTGGAAACAATCTATGTGAAGAGGGAAATATTGAAATTCAAATTGCAAATTAGTAATGGGTATGTTCGTTTACATTCCACGTTTCCCTACACACGAGAATGCGGCTTACTATTACTACCCTTTATAATATCGGATATAGTTTCTGGCTGTTAGGTACAGGTTATAATTTGTAATAATTGATATATCGACTCCTTTCAGGAGGATGATATTCCTGGTATTAATAACAAGTTCCTTTGATCTCGCAATTAAGGACGATGTTGGTCTGTGAATGACAGAACAATCGCTGCGTTTTGAAAGGATGCTTGTTCAATTACGCGTGAGGGATCGATGCCACCAAGCGAAGCCCCCTGTGGGTTTGAGGTGCTTGTAGGTCAGCGGACAAGCGCCATGTGCCGGAGATAGCACCAAGGTATTGATGTTGGACAGTATAATTACAGCACCGGAACTAAAGCGAGAATCATGTTTGATGCTGAGAATATGATTTTTTATTGATATCGGAAATTGGACTTCGACCACAACAACTAAATTGCTATTTGTACCAGATAGGAAAATGTTTGGGTCGATAAAGAGTATCGTCATGTGGACGGAAAGGGCTGGAAATCAATTATCTACCTGGACCTCTACAAAAATGTCAGAGAGAGAGAGAGAGAAGAGGGGGAGGAGAGAGAGAGAGAGAGAGAAGACAGAGGGAGAGAGAGAGAGAGAGAGAGAGAGAGAGAGAGAGAGAGAGAGAGAGAGAGAGAGAGAGAGAGAGAGAGAGAGAGAGAGAGACAGAGAGACCTCTGGCGGGTGATTTAGCTATATCGTTTTGGCTTACGTTTTCTTGTATTCTTCAGAACAATTGCGGTTGATATTTTTCGCTTTTGAGAAACTGGTGAGGATGAGGATGTTGGGGTAGAGGCAGTGAAGGATGAGGATGTTGGGGTAGAGGCAGTGAAGGATGAGGATGGGAGGAGAGGGCCATGGTTGAGAGGGATGTGTATTGTTGGTGCAATGGTTAAAAGTATGTGGTCAAACTTGAAGAAAGTTCAGTACGCAGGTACTTGTAGAAAGAGTGCGTGTGTTGTGTTTTACGCCGCTTGTGGCAATATTCAAGCAACATTACCGCGAGGAACACTAGAAATGGGTTTCACACATCGTTTCCATGTGGGGAATCGAACACGGGCCTTGAGCTTTACGAGCGAACGCTTTAACCACTGCGCTACTCCACTGCCCCACTTGCAAAATGAAGGTACAACAAACTCTATGTATGAGTAGAACACAAGGACAGGACGCACCTTCTAATGCCACCTGAAGAGGCAGGTAGCAGGTTAAGGCGACCCCTGTCCTCAACGGCCTGTCAAAGGTAGCATGGCGAGGGATAAACCGAACATCCACGATGTGGTCACGATCGCTATTTCAGTATTTCAGAAGATATGAAGTACATACCAGCTCGTTCGTTCACCTGCAGATCAAAAATTCACCAAGCGCAAAATGTTTCTTGACAATATAGTTCAGTTTGAAGCTGACCCAGAAAAATTCTTGCAACGAATTGTGAATACAAACACCATATAGACAGGGAATGGGTTTGGTATGAACACCTCCAAAGTACAGTAAAGTTTCCATCAGCTGGGAAGGTTGTGACCTTGTGTTCTGGTGTCATCTTGTTGGACTATATTCGTGAAAGCAAGCCATTAGATATTATACTGCACTTTCGAGACAAATACGGGACCAACTTGAGACTAGGGAAGTGGGAGGCTGAGAAAATGTCTGCTCGTCCATCATTTGCAGAGATCAGTAAGTCATTACCATGACCTCAATCCACAACAGTGGCTTTCAACTCCTTTGACACCAACTTTATTCTCCTGATCTGTCTCCGACACACTTCCATCTGTTCCTGGACACGAAGAAAGTCAATACCCATGTCGACGGACTATAACTTCATAACAGCTGTGGTAACATTTCTGGGCAGCCTAGAAGTGGGCAACAAGAGTTTGTCAATGTACAAGGGGATTATGTTGGACTAAGAATCATTGTATTAATGTCAAGCCATTCTATAATAGGCTCAGAGCTAAATATTCATGTATTTGACATATATGTGCAGTAGACGTAACGGAATCACCCACAACCTGTGCATCAATTTCATCAACATCCCTTCAATATGACGGATGGGGACACCAGACATGTC